AAATACATGTTACAAGTATATATATTATTAAAATGAAATAAAAATATATTTTTATAGCTTAGCTGAAAAACAATCAGACATTGCTGTACAATCTTTTGATGATGAAGGAGTATTAGGTAAATTATCCGATATAACAGTACAAGAAACAAGAAGTATATCTAAACCATATTCAGCATTTAAACCAAAATGTCGACAAGGAACAAGTGGAACTTCGTAAGTATTGATATATGTACAAGATGTCTCTGCAATTATGATATGATCAAAAGATAATTCCTCATTAAAAAATATGCTAAAAATACAGACTGAAGAGTTTGCATATAAGGCTCTGTTTTCAGAACACGACTGTAAATGCCACCAAGTACATGTACATTAATTCCATTTTGAAAATGAGTAATCAGTTTATACTGTCGATTTTGATCATTTTGTATTTAATGATTGCAAAGATACCTGTAATAACCTGTAATAATAAAATAAATAATAACAACAAAATTAAGTGAAACAAATTAGAAAATAGCAATAAATTTTTAGAGTACAGTTAAGTGGTAATTATATAAGCCTCAAATTAAATTCTGGAAAAGGGTTGTTTAATTATGAAGTCAAGTTTAATCCTGATATTGAGTCAAGACCACTTCGTAGAAAACTTCTTAATCAACATTTACAAGCACTTGGACGAACAAAAGTATTTGATGGAGTAACGCTCTATTTACCGCATAAGTTACAGCAGGATGTAAGCAATACATCAGCAATGAGACTTTAAAAGTACACATACATAGATTTATATGGTTTGCAATTTTTAGATAACCATCCTTGAATCTATACATCCTATGGATCAGTCAAAAGTGGAATTAAAAGTAATATATAAGAAACAACAAACCATGTCTGAGAACATTCCATTTTTTAATGTTTTACTTGGCCGTGTTTTACGATCGCTTAGTTTAGTTCGCATTGGCCAACATAATTTTAATCCAAAGGGAATACATCCTATACCACAACATAAATTGGAAGTGTGGCCAGGATTTGCAACAGCAATTACTGCGTATGAAGGGGGTTTAAAATTATGCATAGATGCACGGCATCGTGTTATGCGTACAGAAACGATACGTGATATAATGTAAGAATTGCAAATAATTTCATAAAAAATGTAATATTGTAGTTAATTTTATTTCATCGTAAAATACAACGATGCAGGATCAACTTCGGAGGTAAACCGAATTTCAAAGATGCTGTTGTAAGAGAAGTAATTGGGTTATCCGTTTTTACAAGATATAATAATAAAACTTATCGTGTTGATGACGTTGCGTGGGATAAAGATCCAACATATGAATTTATTAAAGGAACTGAAAAAGTTTCTTTAGTAAATTATTATAAGTTTCATTGGAATATAGAGATAAAAGACAAAAATCAACCACTTTTAGTTCATTGTGATAAATTTAGATCATCTACTGGTCAGGTAAGTAATGAAGTTCTTCAAGCAATGAAATGTAAATGTCGTTTAGTCCGTCTCAAATTCCATTGTACAAATTTTATATGTAGACACAAGAAAAAATGATATTGTTGGTTCCTGAGCTATGTTACTTAGCAAGTTTGAGCAATAGTGTTCGTTCAGATTTTAGAATTATGAAGGATCTCATGGCAGTGACTCAAATGACTCCCAATGCCCGACGTGATATAATTAGACATTTTGTGCAAGAAATACAAAATAATGATGTACCACGGGGAATATTAGCTGAGTGGGGTTTATATCTGGAACCTGATGTAATAGAATTTACAGGCAGAGTTCTTAATTCTGAGCGCGTTTCCTTTGGTCAAGGCACAAACTTTACACCTTCATCTGATCGTCCTGTAGATTGGGGTCCAACTGCATCTAGAAATGCTCCTTTTAGAATTGTAGGTACTTTTATATATTACATATTTAATAATTTGATAGTGACACTTAGAATATAATGATATTTTTAGCCTAATCTGAATCATTGGTTTATCTTGTATTGCCAAAAAGATACAAGATGTACACGAGAGTTTGCTGGTATGTTCAAAAATGTTACAAAAGTTATGGGTATGACTGTTAGAGACCCACAGATGGTTTGCTTAAAAGACGATAGAATTGAAACATATGTACAAGCACTAAGAAAGAGTTTCCAAGAAATGGCTAATCTAATGGTTATCGTGTTTCCTACAAACAGAACTGATAGATATTCTGCGGTAAAAAGGTAAAACAGTTTATACGCATGTTTTATAGTTTCCATATTAAAAATATATTCTTCAATATCTAGAGTATGCTGTGTAGAAATGCCTATAGCTTCTCAAGTAATTATGTCTAGAACTATTTCTCGTGGTGACAAATTAAAGAGCATAACAGAAAAAATTGCTTTACAAGTTATGTGTAAGCTGGGTGGAGCACTTTGGGCTTTAACTATACCTATGGTATGAGATTCACATACATATTTATAATTTCAATCTAAAGAAATAAACATAAATACAAAATTTCAATATGTTAGGACAAATGCATGATATGCGGTATAGACGTATATCATGCAGGTAATGGCCAATTAAAAGGGAGTGTTGCAGGCTTTGTAGCAAGCCTAGATCAGCTATTGACAATTTGGCACAGTAAAATCTGTATACAAGGTAAACGTCAAGAAATAGTAGATATGTTGCAAATATGTTTAATTTCGGCTGTAAAAGCCTACTATAGAGTAAGTAATCTTTAACATTCACTGTATATATACATACATTAATATTCTGTATACTAGTTATCTGTAATACATTTGTAAATATTATTATTATTTTGTTTTGCAGCGTAATACGTGTTACCCAGATCGTATTATCATATATCGAGATGGAGTTAGCGATGGACAATTAGAAATTGTTGTCAAATATGAGGTAAAACAGCTATTAGCATCATTTAAAGCTATAGAAATAAATTACGAACCAACATTAACTGTAATAATAGTTCAAAAACGCATTAATACCCGGATATTTGAGAAATCTGTAAGTGCCTAAGAAAGAAGGAAATTACATATTAACAACTTATAGTTCTTAATCATATATATATATTTCTTTATTTATTATATTTATTTATAGAGCTCGGGATTGAGGAACCCTCCACCAGGAACAATTGTGGATTATTACATAACAAAACCAGATGTCTACGATTTCTTCTTAGTTTCTCAAAACATACGTCAAGGAACAGTATCACCAACTCGCTATATCGTTGTATATGACAGTAGAAATATGAAGCCTGAACATATACAACGACTAACGTATAAGCTTTGTCATTTGTATTATAATTGGCCTGGTACTATAAAAGTTCCAGCTCCTTGTCAATATGCACATAAGCTTGTTTCTCTCATTGGTCAAAATATACAGCTAGAACCACATCAATCGCTTGCCGATAAATTATATTACTTGTAAGTTTTATATATGACTCAACATCCTAGGATGTTGTTAATCAGATCTGGATGCCACATGATTTAGTATAAATCATAAGTACTTATTAGACTGATATTGATATAAGGGATTTAATATGTTCACACAAATATAGTTTCATGTTTCACTGACATATAAACTTGAAAAGTATTATAGAAGTGGTAAAGCTATTTTTTTGTAAGGTACTACTAAGTCATTTTTTCTGTCATATATTAATATATGACAATAATATCAGTATTAAAACCACTGCTGAATAAGCTGTTTTAATCGGTAAGTTGTAATATTTCTTCACTCTATATAAATATAACCGAAACATTGTCAGGGGTAAAGATAGCAATTTTGCAAATTCACAAATATAATGTTATATTTGGATAAGTATAGTTTATATATATACATAAAATGTAATTTAGGAATTTTATATCATGTCCATATAAATACTTCTCAATTACTATGTATAAAATTAAACTGAACTGTTCAACAATAAAAACAAATATTTTATATTTTTGTTACAAATATAATTTGTATACTTAATTATTTAAATTTTGTTTATTAATATCCCTTAGAATATACGGATATTGTGAGGCTAATGCTTTGAATAATTACTGAATCACCATACACGCGATATGAATCACGGACAAAAAATTTCAGACTTGGGCAAGTACGAACTCTGGACCTTGTGTATAAATATCCAGTACTTCGTTTATTTCGTAAAACATGTACTTCATTAATCTACATATTATAATAAAACCACTAAAGTACATGAATAATGTTTACCTTTTGATTTCATGCAAATTTAACCATGTCCGTGTTTACTTTTTCGAGTTGTGCAATATTATGCATTACTTTTTATTAAGAATTATATTTTGTTCTTCAACACTGTATTAAAAATGATTATAGTAGTCCATTAGTATAAAGGAATTTATTTAATTGCTTATGTGTGTTTACAAACGACCCTGCCGATGAGGATCCAATACCCAGAACGATGCGAGCAAAATGCGTGTATCCATAGTCGTCCACCTTGACTTGAAAGTATGCATACATGTTCATGCAAGCGCACGTCTCTATATTATGACGCGGTATATCAGTGTGGGACATTAAAGAAAGCAATGGCGTAACAAAAATGATAATATTTAAAAATTATATCATCATAATATTTTGCATATTTTCCATTACATTGATATTTGTTATAATTGTTTCTTTGTTTATCATTCATTGTATTCAAATAGACGTAATATCACAGACAATGTATGAAATGTCTTTTTTAAAGGATAAATGTGAAACAAGCATTCAATTGACTAAAAATTCACAAGCAATCGGTATTAACGATAAAAATAGCTTGATCGATATAGTCAGAGGTTAACCCAAGTCATCGAGAACTTACATTTGTGAAAAGAATGTAGCGCAACTTAAACGAGCTCCGGAAGGATCCACCGCAATGCGGTGTTTAGTCGACACAATAGTTACGCCACTGCAAAAGAGACAACCGCATGTGTACGTAAATACGTACATACGTATGTGTATTTACGGTCGTGGCGTATCGCGTATCGAGTCGCCGCCGTCGCCGCCATTCGAGCGGTTAGCGCCTGCGTACATCTTGTTTACAACTGCGGAGCTTACCATACACATGACCTTTACAAGATGGACATGAGCGCCTATTTAGCTGTCTAGGCGTGCGACGGAAAAAAGTTGAAGATACGTGCGTGTCATTGAATCGTGAAGATTGACGTGTATGAGAGGAACCGCGGAATCGAGTGATGTTTAATTCGGTTATCAAAGAAAACAGTCAAAGCACGCGTTCGTGATCCCAAGTGACGCGGTATTTGTCGCTTGCACGCGGGCGGAAAGGGGAGAGAGGGATGGTGGGTACGAAAGGAGACCCGAATTTTTCACCTCAAGCAGATGTGATTGTCGTGAACGGATTTTGCGTATGCCTGATCGAGAGTTCGCATTCAGGATACGTCGTGCATGATGATACAGTGTTGTTAACCACGTCGTGAATTCCATTCGTGTGTTTCCGCAAAGTGCTCGATATATGTATAAAGGGTGTGGGAAGAGGAGTGCGTTCTCTCGCATCGACCTGGAATGCTGCCGTGTTTTGATGTGCCTACTATTGCGCATGAAAAAATTCACCTGCCCTTGACAATAGCCTATTTATCCGAACCAGGCCGCCTTTAAACCGCGCTTACCAGTGATAACAGGGGTTCAACCACCCACCTACGTGTGCATCGCCTGTCCCACTCTCTTTTTCTCTACCTCTCTACGTATTTCCTCTAAACGTACGAGCAAACAAGCAAGCGACCACAAGCGCGCGCGCGCGCTCGCTTGCTGCTGCTGCGTGTACACGTGAAAACACCCGCGTGTGTCTGTCTCTCATTGTCAGTATCATCGTGTATACAACCCTTTCTTTATATGTGTCCATGCCTGTCTGTGTATACGCGCCAACCATTCTGGTCAACGTTATAAATTGTATTATTCGACGCGATAAACAGGTGTACCTGCGGTTCTATCCCGGATCAATGATACTTCCACTTTTCCGAGTAATTTCCAAATCAACATATTTGCAAATGCGAAATATGTAAATGCTAGCGTATACAGGCCGCTTCAGATTCCATGCAATCTGTCGTCCTGGGATACCACGCGAACCGCGAACCGTGGCGGGCGAAATTAGACGAAGCCGCGTGACAGGTGGAACCCAACGAGAACCGTGATCGCAGAAATCTCGTCAAGAGGTACATAGTTTCTATGTTTACCGAGAAATTCACTTTACGAAGAGTTGTTGATTTTTCGTCGTGGATTGGACTGTTTCTTAATTCCGTGACTTTAGTAAACGTGGTTACTCGATAATAAATGCTCGCATGAATCGCATCGAAGAGGCCGACCCGTGCGACGCCCTTAGTACACATTGAGTGCACATGCACTATGGTGGCGTGTTATTGCTTATTTACCCCCGACACGTGCTTTCACCATTGGCTTGCTTCGAGTACAACGATATCGACGACAACCTCTTCACGTTAAAAGCAGAACGGCTACACGTTGTTTAAGAGAAAAACAGCAACACGAGCGTGCGGTTTTACAGAAACGTTCTTTGAATTTTCTTACGCCGATAGAAGCAGCGATATATGATTGTACCGATTGAAATATCTATATGGTGTTATTTCTCCAGTGCAAAAGTTGGAAGTGTGTCTTTCGAGTCGAGCTGCTGCTCTGACAACGTGGGTGGGAACACGCATTCTACCACAATGAACTATTGACATAGTATGTTTGGGTATAGTAAAATATGCGTAACGAATTGATCATCTATACCATTTAAATGGTACAATATTACGCGTCGACAGAGAAGACGCAAAATTTTTGGCGACAACGGGTTTTTCGATCGTCACTGCGCGATGTCTTCGAGCAGAGGTTTAGTCTCCCCTTCAGGAGGTCCCGTTGTTCTCTCCGGTCACGTGAAGAAGCTAAAGACGCAGAAGAAAAAATTCTTTGTACTGCGTGGCGAGGCACCAGGATATCCCGCGTGTCTCGAATATTACGATAGCAAAAAGAAATTTGAAAATAGGCAACCGCCAAAGCGCAGCATCTTGTTGAACAGCTGTTTCAATATTAATAGACGCATGGACACCAAACATAAACATGTTATCGCATTGTATACGAAAGACGAATGCTTTTGCTTGATTCTGGAGAGTGAGAAAGAATTGGATGAATGGCTGAAAGCGATGCTTTTACTTCAGAGCGGAGATGTAGCTGATGGAGAGCAACCTCGGCCTATATTTGGTAATGCGCTATCATGATTTGAATTAGAATTAGGCCGCATATTAAGGACGAAACGCGAGATTCACGCGTTGAAAAACAATTTCAAACAAACATTCGTTATTTACGAGTACCAATTTCGTTGAAGTGTCATATTTTGAACTATAAGTCCAGTTGTTTACTTGTTTTTTCAAATGCGTCATTGCCTTTAATAAGTAGGAGAAGAACGTTTTTTCAATATTTTGTTATCTCTTCCGAATATATTTTTAATAATTGCTTAGAAAATTGCTGATTATACTTTGTGAGAAATATAAAACTGTATTGTCCTGTATAAAATAAAAAGATATATGCTGTAATAATTTATAAACAATTGTTATAAAATGTGGAAATCTTGTTATATGTTATATTATGCAGTGTTATAATGAGGTTAAATACAATATCACACATTGTTGATTCTACAATGTTATATATTATTAATTATTAATTATTAATTATTAATTATGATGAGGCATAAATGTAATATTTTATTTCAGAACATGTATGGCAAGTTACAATGCAGAAAAAAGGACTAGGCGAACGAAAGAATATTCATGGCCCCTATAGGCTATGTTTAACTGACCGAACATTAAGCCTAGTGAAAATCGGGGCAAAGGATAATTCAGACACTATAGAATTCCCTGTAAGCATGCTACTTTAACGGATGACATAGTCTAAGATTTAGTGTATTTAAGAAGAAAGACTAATGCGAAACCTTTGCTCCACAGTTAATTTGTATCAGACGATGCGGATATATGGAACGTATCTTCTACATGGAAGTAGGTCGTTCAGCTGTTACTGGTGGCGGTGAATTATGGATGGAAGCTGAAGACAATAATATAGCAAATAATATGCATGCTGCTATTATGAATTCTATGAGCAATTCTAGTAGCAAGAAAGATGATGTGGGGCCACGCGAAAGAATTCGCAGTTCCTCTGCCACCGAAGCCAGCAAGCCAATTGGTGTGTTGCAACGACATGCTGGACAAAGATTTCATAATTCGCCATTAGGTGAGTCTGAATTTTAATAAATCATATTTATACTTTAAGAGAATATCGGTTATAGTTTTTAGCACTCACCTCCAGAGTATATTTTCAATTATGTAAATACTTTAACAATATATTTATAATATTTTGATGTTTCGATTTTTTTTTATAAATACTGAACATTTTACGCAGAAGCTCCTTTGCACAGAAATCATCCTACAAATTCCTTTTGCTTCTATGTGTAAATTGTCCAAGACATTGATTTTCTTTTTTATATCAGACCATAACTATAACTGCACTACATTACATGCCTCGAAATATCGGCTGAATCACGAAATATACAATTGAAAACTCAGCTTAGAATAACACAAATGGGTTGCGGGTATTACAGAGGAACACAGGACGCACGAGGAGCAGGTGGATCAACTTCAAGAACAGGAGCAGTCTAATCAGACTCAGAGTACCTCTTCTTGCAATACGATCACGGGTCTGTTTTCTGTCATTGCAGTTGTATGCTTCTTTTTTTTATAAGATGTGGGCATCAAAGGGTGACAAACACGATTATGATTCAATATACTCAAATTTGTTGTTAAAGTATTCTTATCATATACATACGTATAGCCTATTAAAAGACTTCTATTTTTACACGAATGAATTTTCTGTTTAAAAAGAAGTTCATGTTTATTTACATGAAATTCAAGAAAAACCTCTAACTTCTTTCTATGATTTTTGTTTCACTACTTTCTATAGTTTTTTAATTAAAAATATTTTGGTCAAATTTTTATAGGATAACCGAATAATTACACGATAATCGTGATAGATCGTTAATCGAAAAATTTGTCGGCGAAACAAACAGGATTTTATTGATTACCGTGTGCGAATGGTAGTTTCTAGTATTGCACAATATGTTTCAATACCATACATATGACGTTGGCGAACATACATATTAACGAGGCCAAGTAGAACAAAAACAAATGTGTATTGCATTCTTTGAAGTAGAAATTTATTCAATTTCTAAAGATTGATCAACGATACTTTTTGCTACATAGGAACCTTTTCACGTTTACGATGTTCTGATACCTATAAACTGTTATTTTCTTCAATAAAAATCTTTCGATCGAATCTCAATCATTATCACGTCGATTAGATTTTGCAAAAAGTATATGGAAAAAGAAAAGTAATTGTACGACAGTGAGAGCTGTATGGTTTGCAGTCGTTGCTGGTACCGGGGCTGGGACTGCTGGGATTGCCTCGACTAATAACAACTGTGCCACTACCACTAGACGTCGTCATTCGGTAGCGAGTCATCCCCATTCCGTCAATAATTCCCAATCCGTTCATGTTACAACAAGTACAACTACAACAACCATCACCACCACTATTACCATCACTACGACCGCTACCGTGACCACCACAACCACAACCGCGACAATATCCCATCAGAGAACCTTGTCGCTGCCCTTAGCTGCCATTATCAATCAAATGCAATCATCTAAAAGATCAGTTTTACGCTGTATGTATTTTTGTTTCGTTGTACGATAAATCAGCAAGAGATGTTCTTTATTTCTTTTTCAGTGTCTCTGCCTTGCTATTTCCCATTTTATTTTCTATTCCCTCTTCTTTCTATACTTTTTCCTTTCTATGGGAATCCAAATACGCAAGCAGATGTGTTCGAAATTGAAACTACTTCCTGTTGCGTCATATATAACTTACTTCTCCATGAGACCATCGCGTTGCCGTGGAAATGCAAGCTTCTACTCGCATGCGATTAGTTGCACGATACTTCATAATGAAGTAACGCTTCCCTTTTCGTTTCTTTCAGCGTGCCAACACAATCGATGGAATATTTCCTACAGCATTCAGTCTCAATGATGTGTTTTCTTGGTGTTTTCATTACCGTCATACCGGTCCTCCTCACACGTGAAATTATTCTCTTGTCTATTTCTTATATTTTCCGTAACATCTTTCATATTCGAAGTATACATATATTTCGTCTCACTATCCCAATCATTTGGATACATCTTTTTGATCACTGTTTATTGCTTGATCTAAAATATATGTTCTAATAAATAACAACCTGTATACCTGAATATGCATAAATATTATACAGATCTATGGAATCATTTGACTATGCAAATGAACTAACCGCTGCTATGCTGGGAGGATGGATGCTTTTCGAATTTTGTTCCCTAAACTGAATATTTTGCAACAACATGTCTGACTAATATGTTTATAGGTGCAAACGGGCGTGACAGGTGTGACAGTTTACCATCGAGGGCTCGTACCACCAGCGAGAGCCATCCAGCATCACTGTTAAGTCATCCTAGGAGTACTCTGAGACCGCATTCTATGTACGGAAAAGGCGCATCCTACTCACCACCGATCACTTCGATGCCTATCAGTCCTGCTTCCGGTGCATGCTCCACAGACTCCGCGGGATCATCTCTTTCAATGGACGATGGTGGCGAAAATGTGTTGGAAGAGGGTACCGTTTCGAGATACGGTCATTCTTTAACGCCTGACGAACCTGTTATTCTGGAGGAGAATGGCGACGATTATGCTCCGTGGTCCACGTCGCATTCGCATCATAAATATTCGCCAAATTTCAAGTCGCATTCTCCTTCTCAGGTGGGTCGTTGGTAGAGTTGATAGAATAGGTAAAATACAATAGTTATATAAATTTACGAACTTTAATCATCTTATTTAAGTAAAGGCATTATGTATATTTGTTCGAATACGTTTTCTATATTCACATGTAGCTTATGCAAACCTACAAATATGAGTCACTTTTAAGCGATGAATGATTAACTATTCTTAGCGCCTAAATTTATGTTTTTGGTCATTCTTGGCACAGATTAACAAAGTTCTGTTACTTTATACGTTCTCTTGAAAATGTTTGATTATAAATAATCTTGTTTTAACAAAATTTAAACGTCCGAAACGAAACTGAAAAAAGAATAAGTTTTGTAAATGACGATGAAAAGTACGATTCTCTGATCTTATCACTTATTGTTGTTGTGTTCTCTAGTTGTTTTTAGTATAATTTGAAATAATGAATTAAATAATTCATAATTTTGCTTACTTACACGAGATTCTACTATTAAGTAAACAAATGATAACGTGTCTAAGAATTGAAGTTCAAATTGCATCATTACTATGACATATATATTGCATCATCTGACGATGATAGCTAAATGACGAAATAATAACGCGCGGAATTTTACTTTGTTTACAGCAAAGTTCCTATATAGAAATGTGCAGCCCTTTTGGATCAAGTCCTGGGCGCAGCGGTGGTTACATGCCAATGAGTTCAGGAACAGGATATTCGCATTCACGAGGGTCTTCCCTTGTAGAAGAATCAAACACTCTACCAGAAGGTTACGTACCTATGGCACCCGTTGGAAACAACGGATACGTCGACATGGATCCTTCACATAATCACAATGGCCATTTTGCCGATGATCTGTCGCATGGTGGCAGTAGTTGTTCCGTTACATCTGGTACACCCAGTACAGATTTGCGTTTCTCCGAGTATCATTTAGACAAAGTAACGAGTTTTCTTCCACCCGGAGAGGATTTGCAAGCTAGACCAGCAAGAGCCTATTCCATCGGGTCTCGGCCAGAACCTGTAAACAGGCATCGCAAAAATAGGTACGAAACTTCGTATTTGATTCTATTAATCTTACGTAGTGTTAGATATTGGAAAGAAATTGTTTATACGAAGATAGGCGAAATGTATCGATGGAAGACATGATTGTCTGGTTTTTGTTTTGGATAGATTGGACATTACTCAACAAGAAGCTAGCCGAGTACGAGCGTTCTCTGTAGGCAGCAGATCTAAGAGACCTGAAATTGGCAGGTTAGCGAATGTAGTCACTGCAGCGTTACCAGTTGGTTGTGAAAGCTCGAGTTCCAATAAATCAAACTCAGCGCCATTGTTATCGAGTTCTTGGGGACACAATTCCGGTTGCTCTATAACTTCCGAACGAATGGAGGACCTAATGGAATTGGACTTCACGAAACCCAATATTTCTGCAACCTTCAATTCACCACCTTCGTCTTATTCGCAGTCGCAATCTCAGTCGCATTCGTATTCTACTGCCACCGACACCAGTTCCTACGTTGATATGTCTCCTGGACAACCTCCGTCGTCGACCACTGCCCCGTACGTCGATATGAGCCGCATAAATAAGGTATTCCTGGACTGAAATTAATTAATTTATATATTTTAATATTGCATGTATTAACATGATATTTTTAAGGTTGATTGCCCTGTGAAATTAATTTGTTTTTCGCCGAATATTTAACATTATCACGTTTATATTAATTCTTGTTTGTTCAATTTCCTATTTCTTCAAATTTTTTCAGATTAATCGTAATAACAATAACAATACAATCACTGCCAATCAGAATCATAGTCACATTCATGTATCGTCCTCTGCTTCCATACACAAACCTGTAATTACTACTTTGAAACCGGTGGAAGAAGCAGAAGGACCATACATGAGAATGGATGGTGTAATGGAGGATTGGTCACAATCCGATACAAGTCCTAAGCAAATTGCATCGCCTATGCAAGAAGAGTGTGTGCAATCGAACGGACCGCCAGGTAAAAGATTGAACAATTTTCAAATGTATATATGTATTAATTAATTAACCATTTCATCATAGCTTCTTAAAAAAATGAAAGTGATTTTTATCTTTTATATTTAATGATTTTCAATAACACCGTGTGTGACTTAATATTTCTTTAAAACATATGTCTTCAATAAATAAACTTAATTGTCGTCTAACGTGTAGATATAATTTATGTTTTAGGAGCCACGAGAACAGCACCGGTCGATCTTCCACGGCGCCCACCTGCCGACTATGTTGATATGAGTTTTAAATCAAGAACAAGTTTAGAACAAGACTATATGAATATGAATATGAGCAGTCGAAACAATCGTAAACCAATAGCGACGCGAGCCGGTAGTCGAAAGGAGAAGTCTCGTTCGCAACCAATCGCGATTCAAGCGGGAAATAAACCTATAAAAACGCCTAGTTTCTTACCTCTAAACGGAAGTCCGGAATCAGAAAGTTTAGCAAGTACACCGGCGTCGCCGCCACGGGCAACTCCAACAGGTTCCTCCGCGACTATTTTCCCTTTTTCCTTGAACAGCCCGCAATCACCCGAGAAATCGTTCACTCACCAAAAGGATACTGATAAATCTTCAGAGCTGAATATGACTTCTAAACGCAGTAACGATCGTACAATGGCAGAAACTACAAATAGTAGAGTTAGCACGATCAATTCTATTTCTGTAACGGAGGCGAATAAAACCTTGGCGAAAATAATTAACGATAGACCGTCTAGTCCTACAGGGAAAGATAGTCAAGTTAGTCGCGTGATATCAAACAACTCATTGACCTCGCAAGATAGTACGTTGAACGCTATAACAAAGAAGTTTTCCGATTTGAACGTATCGAAACCACGTTTAATCACTGCGTCTCCAAACACCAGTCCGACGTTACCTGGTTTTAAGCCAACCGTTGAAAAGCGGGCCTCGTCTCCCAAATTGCTAGACGAGACGCCCACACCCACACCTACCGCCATGCCGAGCCCCTTAGAAAAGGAGAATTTCGTGCAAATTGATGCGGAAATTTTGCACTACGCTAGTCTAGATCTTCCTGAGGTTGCTAACGTGGCACCTATTTCGTCAGCATCCCAAGAAGGCTTCAATTACGCTGAAATCGATTTCGCTAAACTTAAATAAAACTAGGCTGTCATTATTTTAAATGTACGAGTGGTGGCATTGATGTAACACGCGTGTGTGGGTCAGGTGTTGTAAAATGCTGTATTGACTTTCTTTTCTGACGAGTATAAACAGGACAATCGATCGTTCTAACATTGGTCGAGCTAAACTAATAAAAAATTAATTGGTTCAGAGTGCTGAATGTAAAGTAATATAGATAGAGAAATTTTATTATTTAGTTCCAAACTTTAAGTTGAAATCGCTTTATTTTTCGTACGCTTCTGACATTCAAAAAAAAGAAAAAAAGCGAAAGATTACTGGTTATACTTTATTTTCTTATTTAGCATTATAACGATTATGTTATGTTAAAATATTGTTGTAAATTGATATCACCTTTCGAGTTGGAGAACAGGAGAGTCTAATTGTTTCCTCTGTTTTTCTTTCTCTTTTTTATACTTACCATTTTTTTCGACGAAGTGCATGGATATTAAGTATGAAATTGAAACTACCTTGTTTCAGTTGCTCTGCAAGCAAACGTTGTAAGTAGTATTATCTTACGTCGTAAAAATATATACATGTATAAAACAAGTAATCGATTCAGAAAAAAGAAAAGGAATACTATTTATCGGTGGTTTTAAATCTATTTCTAGATATTATGGCGACTAACTTAATGTTATTACTAATCACGTTGATTTTTGTGAATTTGATTGGATTCTTCCAACAATGTGCAATGATACACTATCAAAAACATAATTACTACGTGCGAGCTAACAAATATGGCATTGCTCCCTCATCACGAGGAAATCATTTATCGTTCGCCAATGTTGGATCGATGCTAAATTACTGGTAACTTGTACTTCAGACAAGTGTACGTCGTTTACAATGAACATATATTATACGTATTATCACGCTTTTTCATATGAGTTCTGAATTAATGAAATATTGTTTCACACAATATTTTCACATTCTTGTACATTTAAATGTGATGAATGTGCGGGCGCGCGTGCGCACGTATATATTACACGTTCATTCAGACATACACACATACACGTACGCATTTACAGAGTATTCTGTAAAGGACGATACAAGACGGTATCCACTGGAAAGAGAGATGATTGGTTGTGTAAAAATAAATTAAAAATCAGTCTTAACGAGACGTTGTTGCTGAAAAATAGAAAAGGAAAAATGTTTCTTAATACTACCGATATTTTATGAGTTCGATTTTAATGACATATTTCTCCTCGCATACAATTTAAGGATAGTTCAGATATAAATTATATCATATCGTGTATATATGCATACATATGCATTGTCAAAATAATGTTATAAATATATACATATGTGGAAATATGTATTATATTATATATATAACATAATATACATCAATATATAGAAATATGTTCATATATATGATATATCATACATATATTAATGAATAATACGTATATTAATGATGATTAAAGCAGTGTATATTGCTGTTCTTCATTACGCGATACTTATACGTGTGTATATGTATATATATATAAAATGATTCCTTCGAATGCTCCTCTGAAGGTTCTCGAGATAAAACAAATGACATGTTGATTGTATTATTGTATAATAACGTTGTTGTAACATGTACATTGTTCGATTTAAGATTATTATTTGACTGACATTAGTTGAAAAATAAGTTTTTATTTAGAAAGAAAAAACGAAGCATACGCGAGATCTTTTTTTGTTGCAGATTAACACAATGTCCGTCCAAATGAAATAGATCGCGTTTTAATAGCGTTTTAGTTTCCTGGTAAAAGAAGTTTTGTTTGATTTAATAATTAACATGTAAATATAAACTCTTTTGCAAATTATAAACTTGAGAATTTTATTGTTTTATAATCATAGATTTTTCTTTTCTTTCGTTTTTCTTTACTTTTTATCTCGCTTAATTTTATTGAAATTTCCAAAATAATCGGCTACTAATATCGAATGTACGAAGGACAGAGAAATCAAAGTAGGAAAGTTGAATTTCTATTTATATATAAACGTATTATTACGAGTTATATTCGTGCGAGAAATTATTATTTTTGTATTAGAAAACAGTATTTCTTTTTTGTTAGAGAAAATTACATTTCCTTTTGCTTTTTTTGTCAGGAAAATTAATTTGTCAATTAATAACTTAAGTACCTAATCGCTAATCACGTATGGTTTATAGTATTATATCTTAAGATGGAAACAATAATTTTAGGTGTATTATAAATAATTATCTTAATCGCTATCTCTTATAATAGATCGTTTAATATACTTATTTTATTTATTTCATTTCTTCAAAACTTTTAATATTTACTGTCAATTGGTATGCCGGGATTTATTTTAATAATCAAGTAAGTTCGCTGACAAAATATATGTCATAAACGAAGGAAATATGATCGCATGTAACGTGTACATCCTTAACATTTTTTAAATCTCATTTTTATCTTTAATACTTTAATGCCGATTTAAAAATGGAGCTTGTTAACCAAAAATTACTCTATAATCCATTTGTTTTTCAATCAAAATGAACATTGTGTTATCTAGTGCTAAAATTTGGGGAATGTTGATTCCTTAATATATAGATGTACATTACAAAAAGATGTATAAATATGGGGAAAGTAATGTTGATTTGAATGTACATATAAAATTTAAATATAATATCTAATAATAAGTATTTTACTGATACGTTAAATATTTATTTTAATATCAAATAATTTCAGATTATTTGCTTAGAGACTGCCGTTTTTTTTTCTAAGAAACCTGTATTATCGTGTAGAAATTTTAAGTTTTTTTACGATTATAATTTTAGAAATTGTGCTAGTACAATGTCTCTCAGGTTTCAAGTACAATTAACTATTAACGAACATTAACATTTTTATCTTAAATAAGTTATCGTTTGCTTTCAGTGATATCCAAGTTTTTATTTGTCATCGACATACATCTTCTGTATATGAACATTTTATACTTTAACAATAACGTCTTTCATGACAGATTGTAAAAGAACGTATAATAGATTTAAGTAAGTAACAATAAAGGATTCTTTATATTTACACGATGATTAAAGAAACGTTATTGTAAAAGTTCAAGAAAAAGATAAGTAAAATGTGCCAATTATATTCAACTTACTGTCACACTGTGATCGCAGTTTTATGTAATATCTACGGCCCCTAATTTACTTAAAATTCAACTTGTTTCGTATCAGCCAATTAATAAAACGAAAATAATTACGAAAAGTTATCCGAAATTTTCATAATCGGGTAATAACGTGCAGATACGACTGCTTAGCTTTAATCGAATTAAATTATTCGCAGCTAATTCGATCGTTAAATTAAAAACAATGTTACGGACAATTTTATTTTTCGTTTATCGTGCGACATCGCTTTAGATGTCTCTTAGTTTATCGTTACGTGTCTCAGTACGAAACGGAAAGATCGTATAATCCCAATGTCCACAGTAAATCCATATAGTATTGGAAATACGTCGGTTAAGTCGAAAAGTTACGATAAACTTTCCCTATTCACGAGAAACAGAGGTTTCTGGTGAATGTAGAACGAATTACGTGCCAACAGGGCTAGAAGGGAGATAAATGTGCGTGTTTACAGAAATTGTTAGGGTTGTATGCGTTTGAAGTAGCCACCCTATATGGTGTTTTTCTTATTTCTACCAAATGACGTCCTCGTCGTCACGGACGCGTCGAGGTACTTAACTGCAGGTAAACATACCCTAAATTATGAACCAGGATGAGGAAAGGAAACGAGTCGATTTTACTACTCGTAAAATTGTACCGTATCGCGAGCATTCATTGTTGCGTCCTTGTATAGACTGTTTGCTTCTGTACAAGCACGACGCTCTTGTTATTACGGCGCAGGTATGCTCACCGATGTACCCTGAATGCTCTAGAATTTGCTAAAAGTCAATAGAAACTTGTCTTCCTATTCCGAGTTTCGCTTGATCGTCCCTTTTAGTACTTTAAATAGCTTCTTCGAATGGACGAAATTATTTTAGCGGTGTTGTTTCTGCTTCTCTAAATCTACGAGATCGCTAAGTTACGAATACAGTTTAAAAATTCGATTACTTATTTTACGCTGCAATTTCGAAAAAAGATTAATTTACGTAATATCGAATGAAAGATATTCGCCACCTGATTACATTTTTGTTCGCCTCTTATCATTTGGGGACAGTCGGGCTAGTCGGTGCAACGACGGCTCGTTTATGAGAACATGTTACTGCCCCTAAATGTAGACACACTGATTGCCGTCGGGCTGATTAAGGAGCGGTACGTTTTACGAGGGTTTCGTTGACATGTCAACCGCCGAACTTTCGCTGCGCATGTACGAGGTGCGTGGGTGGAGCTCGAGTAGGCGTCGCGACGCCGGTGGCCGGGCTTCCATAGGTACCTACACAAGGGGAGGAAAGATCGATTCAGATATTTTCAAGGAGAAACGCTACCATTCCTGCCAGCTTCCATCTTTCGCGCGTCATACAAGACGTACGAATTTCTACGTATTCCGTGAGATCGTTGTTAAGTATTTTTCAACATTATTATTTTACTGTTTCTGGTCCTGTTCTCCATCCGAACTATATCGTCATGGCGCGTCATTCGAGCGAACGAGGTGCTAATAATACAGGATACCGAGTTTATTTCCTGATTTAGCAAGTCTCGCGATAGTTTAAAGAAAAAGACGAATAACCGTAGCCGATCTCATATGAAATAAAGTCAGATGTCTTGGACCTAACGTAAATTACGCGTATAACTGATTCTTTTATTTTTTCTAATCAAATCTTGAGATCAAATAGCTATCGCAGAACTTTACACGAGTATCGTTACTGTACACGACTGAAAATTATATCTCTTTGTTATATCGTCAGCATTTCGTTTACCGATTATTGAGAATTTATTAGAATATCTCGCGGAATTTGGATAATAATACTGTGTCAATCGCGAGAAACAGCTCTGACGTTAAAATACCCATATGAAACCCGTAGAAACTGTAGATTATCCTGAAAAGGATCAAATCTACGTTCGTTCGAGTGCAATTACCCCGTACTCGATTTTCGAATATTCTTGTTTTCGTTGCATTCGACGAGTATCCGGAAACATTGGTGTGTTGGAGAGTAAATCAAAGGCAGGACCACCGGGATCGGAATTTTCCTACTGGCTGGAAAGGTCGAGGCTCCGCCAACAGCTTGGACGCGTAGGTAAATCGACTTTGACGAGAGTTGTGCGCGTGTAGGTCGCGTGTTCACCGGTAAACGAGAAGGGGTGTAAGCCTCGGGGGTTGGAGGCCAGGGGTTGAAGCCATTACCGTCACAAAGCTACCACCAGATTGCCGTCGGGGCTTACGTAGTCTCTCCTCTTCTATCCGAAACTCTCTCCTCTTCCCGTTGCTCTCTTACTCGCTCGGTTCGTTCGTATTCATGATTTAAATTCAATTGCCTTTTATCTGCCATCCTAGGCCCCGAGTCGTTGATGATGGAATCGCTGAGATCAGAGAATCCGGTATACCTCTGCCTCTCCTCTCTTTCTTTTCTCTCCTGTCTTTTCTCTTTCCTCTTTCTCTTCCCGTTCACGTCTCCCAGCTTTGTGCTTTTTCCCTTGTGCAGCTACGCGATAGTCTTCTGGAATTTTCACGTGTATATTTCTTATTTGCGCATTTGGCCATGCGCGCACCAGCGACAAAACCGAAGCTTCGGTAATCTATATTCCTGCGTTACGCTCTCGCTCGTGCCAATCAAAAGTTCAATTTCTTCTTCTGATAAAGATTCGCGATAAGCTTTTTGACTTTCGATGGCTCGTCTTTTTTTCAAGTTTGATCGCTATTTTGTCTACGCTTTGTACGTATTTCTTGCAAATGTTCCTCTCACAGTTGTGAGAGGCTGTAGATTCTCGAGAATAGGATAAAGTTTTGAGTCTAAACGACTTCTTGAATCTTCTTGATTGCCACACGATCTCCTTGTCTCGATTTTCGTGCAACGACAGAATCAATAACGTTCTTAGACCGAATTCTCTCGTGGAATCGATCGGAATCGTTCGATCTCGTCGAACGAATAAAAAAAAATGTTCTCAGATCGCAAGATAAACGTCGTTTGCCGAAGTGATTTTCAAATCATAAAATATTTGGTAGAGGCACAAGTTTTTGCCTAAGCTGCACGGTA